CAGCATGACAGCACCTGAGACCCATCAAGGTGCAAGAAAGCAGTGGGAACCAATGCACAGGGAAGAAGAGTTAACTGGCAGACTTTGGGAGGGGCTAGGGTTACCTTTTGCACCTCCCAGGGGTATAAAAGGCGGAGCAGCTGTTTTGTGGGTGAACACATGGCGTTTTAGTCCCATACTCCCAGTGCTGTAATTTTTCCTGACTCGATCCTTTGTTGTATAAACCTGGGAAATTTTTAAAAATGGGCATAGTTTCTCACACCATGGTAACTGCAGAAGTGCATGAAATCTGGTTCATTGGATAGCTGTGATTCTCCTGGCTCTTATAGCATGATTTTAACCTTTTCCTTTGGCTTTTATGGTCATTTTAGTGATATCAGAGCTGTTTCCAAGCTAGAGAAATAACTTCTCTTTTCCATATGATGATGATGTTTGTTACTCAGTAAAAACTCTTGGAACTCTTGGAACCAGATTTTTATGCAGATGACACTCACCAGAGTTGCAAAAGAAGTGTGCTCTTCCTCCAGTATGTTGGAAAGAAGGATAAATACAGCACTGCAAAGTGCTGTAATGACAGAGAGTGAGGTGTCTCAAGCTGGATTGTGATGACAGCCTTCTTATGAGCAGGGCTTATTTCTGCTCCGGAAGGCAACAAGGCATGATTTTTCCCCTCTGGGGCAGGATCATGTCTGAAGGATGGTGTCTGAAGCAGATTGTTTCTTGACAGAGTCCCACTTCACATAGATTGCAGAGGTGGAAAGAAATGCTTTAATTCCTCCTGCAGCCCAGTGGGTGCCATGGTACTGCAATGCACAACCTGCTGCCTCTGTGCCAAAGGTCAGCTTCCCAGGGCACATTGAGAACTGCTAACAGATGCAAGCCTTTCTGTCTAACCCTCCAGTCTGGTAGCATGCAAGGCAGCTGGAAGGTATGCAGTGGTAGCATGACATTGAGCAGTTGCTTTTCTTCCTCACCTCACAGCACAGATAATTGGCTAGGGTACTGTGATAATGTGGCTTCAGTGCTTCTGGACTGGAGTTGTTTGGGGTCAGACCATTTGAGACTTGAGCAAGACAATTATGCACACCTGTTTGCATTAATTCCATATATTTAGTGAAGTTCAGGCAGCATGATGGAGTAACATGAACAGAGATGAACTGGGGAATTAAATTGTGTATCTAGTATGTCAGAGACACTCAATATGTTCAGAAATAGCATGAACTATTGGAAAATATATCCCTCTTGTTGTGAGCTGTGGGTGTATGCTGAAATTAAATGAGACTGAAAACACCCTTACAAATGTGTCTGTACCTCCTACAATGTTGAGACTCCCGTTTCTAGTTAATTAATGTATTTGGAGATACTGCCTGTCCTTTTCACTTGTCTCCTTGACTCAGTTCCTCACTAATGAGTCCCCAGTTCAGCTTTGAGGTGCCAGCTGCCCTTGCTGGTTTCCTTGATCCTATCCTCTGTGTTCTGTGTCCTCAGGCTGCTGAGCCTAGACACGGCCTGAGGCTGCTGGTTTTGTTCCCTTCCTCAGCCCAATCCACTCTATTTCATTATTGGTTTCAAGCCCTGGCTGACTGCACATCTAGCTAGTCTTCTCTTGCAGGCCTTGCCTGAGATGCTGTCTATTGCACATGGCTTTTGGAAGGCTTTCAAACTAAAAAGTTGAATGTCTTTGTCTGCCTTGAGAGTACCTTCTCTTAGGCTTCATTCTTATTTTTCTCCTTTCTCTTAGGCAAAATTTTCAAAATAACTGGATATGCTGTGCTTGAAAATCATGAATAGCATAAACCACTCTGGTGCTCTGATGTTTTTGTGATAGTCACTACCAGCTCAGTAACCCGTAGCGACTAACTTTGAAACAAACTGAAAAGGAGGAGGAATGCTCTAAATGTTGTTATGACTCAAGACTGGTTTTGCTCTCTAATAAGTTGAAATGCTTTTATACTTGAAGAAATACAGTCATAGATAACAGTAGTAGACTTGCCCTGAAAACTTTACAAAGTGCATGGAATACTGTGTATGCATGTCACTGTCTAGATTCACCACAAATTATTAAAGCAATTTTTAAAAATAAAGCTGAAATCCATGAAATGTCATCAGCAGAAGAATCAACAAATTCATTTTAATTTTTGGATTCTTTTGGAAGAAAAACTTGAGTTCTTTCCCTTGTCTTTTTACTGGAGAAGGAGGACAGAGAGCAAAGTCCTATTTTCTTTCTTAGATTTCACAAAGAGAAGGAACTTGATGGCTCAGTAAATGGGATTTGGTGCCTCGTGCTACTCAGTATCTCTGTGTCCTTCAATTAGGGTAATTTCTCATGATCTTGTGATGTGGTATCTGTCTCTGTTCTTGAAAGTACAGAAATGAGTAAAGGTTTGGCTGTGGCTAGCAATAACACTTTTGATCTTGATTCATACCCCATGAAACATCATGGTTAACGAACAGGGACATCCTACCCAGAAAATACTCCTAAGGCCATGGGCACAATAGCTTTATTTGTTGTTAGAGTGCAAACCTGTGTTTGAAATGTTTATGGTGGTTATTAGCATCTTCCTAGTTTGGAAGAGGGGGAAATTCCTCCAGTAAATGAAAAAGTACCCGTCAGTCTAAAGTCCCAGTGGGAGACTCAGAGAGGCAATTAATTATCAAGAGCATTCCCTAATTAGATAACAGGGTGATGGTGATGGAAGAGGTACATTTTTTCTGGGAGATGGCTTTGGCTTTCCTTATCATAACTGCAAGCAATTTCTAGTAGAAAACACTGTGCTAGTTGCTTTGTTATCTAAAGAAAAGTATGTTAGAAGTATATTTTGGCTACATGGAAATTAGTTGTGTTTTGTTTTCTTTTAAGATTTATAAAAAGATAATTAGTCATCAGGTCAGAGATTGTACAGTCCACTTTGATCAGTGCTATTACAAATGTACTGAAATTCCTTATTTTTATTCTCTTTAATACAGCCTTCAGAAACCTACTGAAATTTTGCTGCAATAATAGATCAGATTTCTTTCTGTTGCTAAGCTGATTGCTAGTAGCAAAGTCATGATGATTTTTTTCTCTCTGTAACTGTAAAAAAGGTTGTGATAAGCAAGCAAATAAGATTTTTTTTTCCTCATCTGCTTCATGCATATTTGATATTTGACTTTTCTGAAGCAGCTAATTCTGAAGGAGAAAAGGATATAGTTAACCAGTTGGTTAAAATGTTTGGCCCTGTAATTTGACTGGCATTTTAAACTTTGGCCTGCTGTGATGAAAGTATTCATAGTAAGTCGGTGGCACCAAAACAGACATATAAAAGTGAATTCACTGTGCATATAAAACTTTAAAAGGTTTTCTTGCCATGTACAGTATTAGGCATGTCAGGAAAGGCAGGAATCCTAAGCCTGGAAGCAGGTGAAGTCCTTCAAGTTTCAGTTGTATGAAGTGGTGAATAAGTATATAAAAAGCCTCATTTGTTTGCTATTTATTTGCAAGATAAATCCTTTTTATTAGCCACAAGAAATATCTGATTGTAAAACAGAAATAATATTGCAGCTAGCCACTTTTCAAAGCACTCTCCTGAAACACCGTTCTGCTCAGCCTTGGAATATTTCTGGGAAATGAAAGATGAAAACAAAGACAAGACTTCTGAAGTGTTTATACATACATTAAACAGTGTTCAAAGATTTTTATGTTCCCCTCCTTTTTGTCTCTAAAAAACGTGAAATAAATGTAAAATGTTCTTTATTTTTTCTTGCAACACAAGCCGTGGGATATCTTCCTGCCACTGTTCTCTGTATGCTGGTAGCAGGGCATATAGCAGAGCAGCACCAGCAACCCATAAGGCTGATAAATAAGGAAAAAAAGTACTAGAAATGCACAGATGGCCTCATGCTAATGGACACTGCTTATAATTAGATCAATGTGGGAAACCTTCAGGGCATGAGGTCTTCTGTCTGAAAATGATGTTGCAGAGTCTTTGGGGTTTTCATGCATAAGGGAACATTTCAGTAGCATTTCACTTTTGTGGAGAGTCAAAATTAATATTTACAAGGACTAATGCATCCTGTTATGATATGAAGGGAAAGCAATGCTGACTTGTTTTCAAAACTTTGCTTCTATTGACATGTAAATCCAAGATTTTGGGGATACAAATCATTCTTTGGAAGGTGTTTTTGGGATGGAGGAGAGGAGCAAAAAATTTTGCACGTGAATTCAATTCCAGCAGCGGGACACAATTAAATAGAAGCTGTGTGTGAGGCCAAGCTTATGTTCATCACCTGGGTCTGTTTAAACACAGCATCTGTGAAGTTCATGTAATTTTTACTTTAATAATACTTGGATGTAACTCAGTTCAATATGAACAACTTTCATCCATACCTAAATTCTAGAAGATTGTACAGTATAACGAGGTTATTGTCTAACATGAGGCCACACTTTGACTTGTTTTGGAGTGTGGCAGTGCCCAGAATGTTCTGTTTCCCATAAGGAAGACTCCTTCCTGAATATGCGGCAGAGTTGTCACCCACAGAATTGTAGTGCTGTTATAAATCTGTGCATTTCAGGAGACCCTTTGTTTTACCATTCTTGCTTTCTTATTTTTGAAGGTTTTCATGGGAAGGGAAACTAATAGTTTGAGAAGGATTTGGGAAGTAGGGACGACAGCCAGAAGGAGCATGGAATCTGCAGATCTGGTAGAGAGGGAGTTAAGGCAGATTTAGCTGTGCTAGGTGGGGATAAACATGCTTTAAAGCTTTTAGCTGACTGTTAGTAACTGCTCAATCTGCTCAGGAAAAGGGTTACAGCGTAAAGGTAAGAATGAAATGGCACCCTTGGTGGCCAGGATGAGCCTCAGGACAAACATGCACATTCCCTGAGGAAAACTGAGGAGTTGTGGTCTCTGAGCACAAGCAGGAGTGAATTTAGCTCTCACTGCTTACTCACCCATGTAATTAAGTTGGCAGCAATGAAGAAAACCATATACATATGTTTTTTCTTTTCTTCTTTTTCCTAGACTCTAGAAACGACATGCAGAAGGAAAGTTACTTGAAAGAACTCCTTAAAGAACTGCCTGATGCTCATTACTGCTTACTGAAGTACCTGTGCCAGTTCCTGATAAAGGTTGCTGAACATCACGTAGAGAACAGAATGAATCTTTGCAATCTTGCCACTATATTTGGACCAAACTGCTTTCAGTAAGTTGAGCTTTTTACTATGCCCTGTTTGCTGGCAGGTGACCAGAAATATACATGTCAGAAATCTTTGTCAGAATGATCAAATGGAGGCAGTGGCTGGGGCACTGTGTTAAACTTCAGTGCTAAAGCTATTTTTGAGCCAAACTGAAGTAGAGTTGCTCTCTCATTTCCTCTTCCTGTTTGCTAAACTGTTTATCAGTTTTGTATTGCTGCTTTGGTAGTAGAGCAGAAGTATAGCGCTGAAAGGCCTTTAGACTCCATCAGTGCAAGGAGGCTTGTACTCATACAGGTTTCTTCCTTTGCTATCAATTGATATGAGTGCTTATCTCCAGAAGCCTTTGACAAATGATCTTTGGTGGAAAAGGACTCTAATGCAGCACCCAGGTTCTATATAATTTCTAGAGATGGATGCTGCATACTGTCTGCATGTTTGGCCTTGTGATCTGGTGTCCACCCTCCAATGCAAATGATTGTGGTCACTCTGTCCTTCTAGTCTATTCAGAAATTGCTCTGGAGCTTGGAGATCCACATAGAACTCCTTACTGGGGACAATAGCTTTACTGGGTTCTTTCTCTGCGTGCAGTTCCTGGGTTCTTGTGCTGAAGACATGTTTTATGTGCTGGTGGAGCTTGCAGCAGTAGCCAGAACAGTTATTTCCAGGTGCAAGAGCAGTCTTGAATGAGAAGGTTTCTGTTGAGTCACTGCAGTGATGCAGTGCAGCGTTAGCACCTTCACCTCTGCAATGAGCCCGCTGGCTGGCATCCAAGGTCTTTGACATGAGAGACACCTAAGCAGTTTAGTTCAGTCATCAGTTGTAAAAGGTGTGTGATATCACCAAGAAGAGACAAGTGAGTTCCTTGTATCAATCTCGCATTTGTAAAACATCACTCTGGACTAACAATTGTCTAGTAAAACTTAGTCTTGTGGAGCAATTAATTTAATCCATCCCCCTGAATTTCCTCTTGGAAAGACACAGATTTCTTTAAAGAGAGAAAATAGAAATTAGGTTTCTGTAATATGTTGAGATAGTTCCTTGTACCTAGGCTAGATGTTGCCTGCTGTCTTTTTAAGGAGCATATATTTTTCCATTGATTAGGAAAGGAGTGAGACACTTAAACTAAAGCTTGTACTAGCGACTACACAGCTGCCTTATCTTAAGATGTTGCTGGTGGATGATGAAGGTGAATTTCAGGATTAAAGCATTTGCTCTGTTAGTACAAAAAGATAAAGTATATTTTAAAAATAATTGTTTTCCTCTCTGAAACAAAAAATGCTCAAAAGACAATAGTATGCATGGGAATGCATGAATATGAGAATTACTGGAAGCACAATACTGTGAATTTCTGACAAGGAAAAGCAAAACAATTTTTTAAACTTGCATTCATATGGGTAGTGTGGAAATTCCTGTCTAAATGTATTAGCAGAGTTCAGAACAAAGAAAGTAATTAGAAGAATTTGAGTTCAATAACTAAATCTCTATGACTCAAGATCCCAGGCAGCTATTAGAATAATTTTTAGTATACTCATCACTTCTTTGAGGAGAGTTTAAAAATTAGCTGCACATATTTTTGGGTGTAGAATGCAAAGAATTGCAATTCAGAATTGCAATTGTCATTCCTAATATTAAACCAAAGTGTATGCGTTAAAAACTCTATAGTTGTTGCTGCAACTGATCTCTCCTCCTAAGACAGCATGGAAAAGATATAAGAGTTTTTGTAAGGTTCAGAGATGGAAACACCTCATTCCATTGCAGAAGACTAAGGAGGGCAGAGTTCACTGAAGGTGAAAAACCAAAAAGGCTCATGAGTCTGTATGTGAGTGTGACCAGCCCAGCAGATGTGACACCTTGAAATAAATGCTCATGTGGCGAAAAGGCATTGAAAGCAAGGCTTCACCCTTACCAAAGGGCTAATGTGTTTTTAAAAGACCCAAATAAGTTAGAATTAGGGATGTAGATTTTTATTTAAACTAAGTTTCACCATCTGGTATTTCAGCTATGTGTTCCATCAGATCTGGATCTTTTCAAGGCAGTTCATTCTTGGGCTCCAGATAGAAAGATTGTGAGCAGCAGTTCAAATACCCTTTTCTCCTGTCTTAATGGATGCAGTCTTACATTGCTGGAACTGTGACTATCTGTACCAAAAATATTTGATAGGGGGAGGAAAGAACTTGCAGCACTATTTTTAGGTATTGGGCTTAACCAGTTGGTTGGTTAAGCATCCAGAAGGAGATCCTCAGAACACATTTCAGAGCTACAGAGTAAGGCTGCCTGAAGCCTGCTTGGCAAGGACTGTCTCTCTCTACTGGCTGCAGGTAGTCCATAGAGAAGCTGCAGAAATTAAATGTTGGCAGGAGGCTGAAGGATTTGCTCCTCTTGCTTTGCATTGTTTGTTCAGAGCCGTGCACAGGGGGTTTCTCCATGACAAGAAAAGGAGGCTCAGCATCCAACTTGTCAGCAATTATACTGCCAAAGCAGGGAGAACTGAGATTTTTCTGTCAGAAATTCACACTCATGTCTAAAAGTGATGTCAGTTTATGTAGTTATTGCACAGTGTCAGAGAAGATCAAGCCCATCTGCTGGTAGTGAAGGACTTCTTTTGGCAAGGTATTTTTAGTGACAATTTAGCTACTTAAGCATTGTATCTCCTACTCCATAACTGAAGTTGTTTAACAGTTGAATAAATCATGCTGCTTGGCCACTTTCCAGATATTTGGACTTCATTTTAATTCTCTTAATCTCATTCTGTTTTTCTACATCATATCCTCTGTAATGTATCCCATCTCCTAAACCTTCAACCTTTATTGCTTTTATCTTACCCAGTACTTCCCCCGCTTCCTTACTTGCTCTTTGACAAACTGCACTAGTGCTTTTCTAAGAAAGATTATCTTGTGCTTTCTGTATTTCTAATGAATAGAAGGAAAAAAATGGCTATTTGCATTACTTATAATGAAGTGTGATGTAAGATACAAGAACATGTAAAGGCCAAGGTCAAACAACTCAAAAAAAGATTTGAGATTTGGTTCACTGTTTTTCTCCCAACTTGGTTTATTCAGATTTATTGTGATGGAAGGGAAAGGTCAAGTATATTGAGAAATACAGCCCTGGAGGAACTACAAGCATGAAGGAACAAAAATAGCTGTCTTTTCTGACACTGGGCTAATCTGTGTAGAGTATTAACATTTGCAGTGTGATTACTCTTGGAGGAAGTTATTGTCCATTGACCTGACTTTCAGCTCCTGGAGAGACATAGGCCTTAGTTAAGACCTGCTATGTGGGTTTTGCTTGGCTCTAACAGCTTGTGCTAAAATGGAGAGGTTTTCTCTCTTCTCTGTTCTCCAGGAGCTGGGTATCAAAGGAGCTGCTGCCCTTATCCCATCCTTTGTTTGGCATGGTAAGAGACATGAGGTGTAACAGCGTAAGCAGAGGATGCATTTGCATCATTTTTTGCAGCTCTCTCTCTAACAATGATCTCCATCTGTGGCCTCCATCATTCAAGCCCTCATGAACTTGGTTATGTTTTATTTCAACAGTGATAAAGTGTGTTGTGAGGGATTGCTCCATCTCCCCAAAAGTGGTTGGCAAATGTAGGTGTCCAGTTAAAATGCTGGAGTTAGATGCAGTTATTTATGTATGATGATTGTGTAACATGAAGGGTATCAAGAAAAGTATATTATCTTTGTATATGGAGAAGATGGTAGATTGTAGAATAGATGTAGGTATTTCAGAGATGCTGAACTTGAAAGAATTAAAATCTGGTCTGAAGTTATGCATGAACATCTTACCTTGGTTTCTAGCAGCCTTGGAGCCTGCATGGATTGGGTATACAAAACTGAAGTGAAAGCAGAGGGGCTGAATTAATACTCCTCGGTGAGTAATGTTAGTCTTAGGAGCATTATGTGGATGGGCTTTGTTTTCAGGCAGTGCAGCCCCAATCCTGCATCAGTCTTCAAAACAAATGTGCATCCAGGATCAGGGGAAAATTGAGTCCTGAATATTGTTGTTTACACATGAATTATTGCAAATTGGAGCATGCAGCCATAACCTTTAATATTATCCAGCACTGTAAAGGAATTTTTTGTAAGTATTCAGTATGCTGAACCCTATAATGACAGTTGTCTTGGTTTGACAAGACAGGAGTCTGTGAAGGAGGGCAAAAGCCTCCTGTGCAATGGAGAAGGTAAACCCCCTCCCTCCGAATTACCAGGATTTTTAAATTAAAAGGCTCTCAGGCAAAGATATGGGAATGGGAGTAACAATTCTTTACTAGGAGAAACTAAATAACAATTTAAAAAGGCAAATGCAATTGGTACAAACAAAACTAGTGATAAAGTCCACAACCTGACACTCTGAGGATTTGGGGTGTTAATAGCAGTCCAGTTGAAATGACAGCTGCTCCTCTCGCAGTGGCTGATGAATTGCAGCTGAAGTGGTGATCTTTAGAAGGGTATAGTTTTCTCTGAAGATCTGGTGGCAGCTGGGCCGGTCATCCTCTGTGCCGGGGCCACCTCCGAGCTCCGCCACCGCTGCCTCACCGCGCTCCGGCCGTTTCTCTGGGAATCCCGCCGAAGAGAGAGAGCTGCTTCTCTGGGAATCCCGTAAAGAGAGAAAGCTGCTTCTCTGGGAATCCCGTAAAGAGATAGAGAGCTGCTCTGTCCCCCAAAAGGTACCCCTTTATACAATAAAAGAGTGCTTGGCTTCCCCCTCTGGGTGGAGCATCTCACAATGGGATGGTGTTACGTTACCAGACCTGCAGTGAGTCAGTCAATGGCCCATTAACAAACCATTACCTCTTCAGAGCAAACCATTGTTCTTGGAAGAGATAACAAACCTGCCCAACCTCCAACAGATGGCAAATAGAATACAAGCTTATTTTACAAACCAGGACAACAGTTTAAAGCATCAAGTATAATATAGCAAGGCTATAAATGTTCTCATCCATAATCATATTAAATACTCATGAATATTTGAGCTCAGCAATACAGCTCAAATACAATCAAAA